AGGAGACTTAAGAACTGTACTAATTTCATTTCATTTAAGGGACATTAAATGTATTTTTTTAGGAATTCCATGCGAGCAGATAGCATAGCAACCAGTAACATCAAAAATAGGATTGGCAGCAAAGGATCATTAGAGAAAGTTGCAGATGTGAGACTCCTGTTAGAAGAGAAACGTCAGAATAGCACCGGGCCCCGTCAGCCAAACAGCTCTGTAAAATCAGGTAATTTTCAACTCCTCTGTATATTCATTTCACATCTGTGCTCCACTGGAAATAACAAGCTCTGCATTCATATGCTTTCCACTCTCAGAGATTGAGTAGGGGAAAAATGAAATACCATTTCAGTGAAAGCTTATTTAGTGATGTTGATTTTTATCCATTTTCTTTGCTTGTGCCTATTTCCTTCCCCCCCCCTCCCTTAGTCTCCTGTGATTTGCTTGAGGCAGAGATTCTGTAGGACTCAGAAACTCAGCACAGGGGGAAGGTCATGCACAAAATCAGATGTGAAACACTAACTACACTCATGTGAAAGAACATGTATTACATGGATATGGATGCTCTTTCAGTTGGCAGGGTTTATTTCTGACCTTAATTGCCTGTTGGTTTTTTGACTCAAAAGTGTATGATTTCAGCTCCTTCTGACATACCTAATATTCAGTAGGGACTGAATAAGGGACAAATATGCTTTGTATCAATGCAATGTCAATGTTTTTTCTTAGTATATTTTACCCCTTCTGCCTGTTTTGGACCTCTGACAAGTTGGCACATAAATTCTGTAATTCCCTTTGCCTTCTTATTTTAAATTGTTTGAACCCCAGTGAGACAAGGAACATCTGGCTAAAGCAGACAAACTTCAGAATGCAAGATTCAGATCAAAGACCAAGTATCAATACATTTAGGATTCTTATATTCTGGTTTTCATTTTGTTCTGCAAAATATCAAGCAGTATTAGAATTCTGAAGCAGAGGATCTGTTATCTGAGAAGAATCACTGAACTCATACTTATTTTCATGGAATCTTATCTCTGCTGCTAAAGCAGAAATGCAGCAAGCCATGGAATAACTCAGTTTTCTGATCTTTTGGACAGAGCACAACCTGAAAACATTAAGTGTCAAATTTATTGCCAAAAATGAAATGAAATCTGGATAAATTGTATTGCAGACATTGCCAGGACTGAAATCTGATTATGAAAGACTTAAGTGAAAAGATAAAAACACAGCATTTGTCAAGTTTCAAGTTGTACAAATTGTGAACAAGCATAAAATCAGCTGGCAGAGCTGGAGTAAATGCAACATGATTTTTTTTTTTTTTGTCATTTTAATCCCTGAAATCATCCCTAGATGTGCGGCAAAGACTGGGGAAAAGGCCCCATTCTCCAGAAACGAAACCTCCAAGCAGTACCTCTGCTCCTCGGCGGGAACCCATCTCAGATGTCCACAGCAGGCTGGGAATCCCCAAACAAGATGTGAAAGGCCTCTACTCTGACACCAGAGAGAAGAAATCAGGTTAGTTCTGGGGAGAAAAGTGTAATAATGCAGTTCTTTTGATTCTGGAGTGTGAGAGAAATTGCAGCAGGAAGTCGTGAAGGAGGTTGAGCCGAGTGAAATTCAACATATAAATTGGCAAGTTCAGAGCTTTGAAATCTGAATGTGTGTAGGGAGGAGCTGGGAATGTTCCTGAGCAGTGTTTTTGTAGAGGTGTGCTGAAAAGTCAAGGACCACTTTAAAACTGTGGTCAAAAACAGGGCACTGAAACAAGTGTAAGGAATGCAATGGCACTTCAGTGCTGTGTGTAGAATTCCCTGCAAATGGGCAGCACTGAACACGACTGCCCTGAGCCTCCTGTAGTTTAATTTCAGCTCCTGCTTCAAAGCATAATCAGTCCCGTGGCAGACATTGAGGTGGAAGGAGTATGAGGGGTTTAAAGGCATGCAGTGAATTTAAGACTTGATTCCTTGACTCATTCAGAATTCCTTAGTCCCGTCTGTTGGTTTTGGTTTTTTCTAAAAAGCATTTCTTTTTCATCTGATCAGGTAATTTATGGACCCGATTGGGGTCTGCTCCGAAGACACAAGAAAAGACTTCAGATAAAGCTGAAAACTCTGTGGCGTCTCCAGAGGAAGAGGATTCCGAGCTCCAGCGGGTTTGGGGGGCTCTCATTAAGGAAAAGGAACAATCTCGGCAAAAAAAGAGCCGGTTGGATAATTTACCATCCCTACAAATCGAAATCAGCCGGGAGAGCAGTTCTGGCTCAGACTCTGAATCCTGAGGGGTTTCTCATCCTCATCCTCAAGGTTGTGACTCTGCAGTGGGGCAAGATTTCCTTTGCCCCAGAGCTGGACACTGGCAAAGACTCTGCAGTGAAGGTCCCAGAAGTGTCTCTGCTCCTTTTATACAAAAAAAGAGATGCATAAACCACTTGAAACCTAAAGCAATCACCTTTGTCTGGAGTCTATGGTTGGCCCTGTGTTATGTAGGGCATTGTCATCCATGTTTATTACAGCAAACCTCTAGTTCATTCTAGCAAAACACTTCCCCCCCCCCGAGCTTTGAACTTCAAAGAAGAGGCAGAAATCCTCTGTATTTTTAAGGAGACCTTTTCGTTCTTAATATTTTCATCATGGAGGCTTTTAACAAAATGTTTTCCACTCTTCATCCAAAGAACAGGGCGTCTCTTGATCCAAGATCATTGCCTTGCCCTTCTGGCTCTTACCAGCACCTCTCCTTTCCTCTTAAAGTAATAACGAAAATGCTTCCTGGGTGGGCAGCCAGCAAGGATAAAGCATGAAGGGATTACCACATTCCCTTCCTCCAAAACACTGAATGTAAATCCAAGTTAAATAATATTTTAGTACCATTAAATTTCATGTATCCCAGTGGTGTCACCACTCTCAAGGAATTCTCATTTATTTTGTGATACCACGGCCTGCTGCAGCAGGGATTGAGATGTTCAGGACTGCTAAGTTGGATGTTTGAGAGCTGTGTAAATCCCCAGGGGGTTGGTTTTTCTTTGTTGTTGTTACGTGATGAGAAATTCTATTTCTTCCATTTCACCCGGATTATGTTCTGCAGCACTCTTTTAACAGTTGGAAAGCATACATTTTTATATCTGTGGGAATTTTCCTGTTGGCCACGGTGAAAGCTCTAGTGGTGTACTCCTATGTGCTGTTTATCTATATATATATAACTGAAAGAGAAAAGGAAATCTGTAGGATCACTGTCTCATGTCAATGCTTCTGAATGTTCTCCCTGTATAGTACATGTGGATGTGGACATGGTTGGACTTGTTACATTCAGCTTTTTTACCTGCACATTTTCCCTTCCTAGGTAGGAAAAGGGTTTGGTCTGTGTGCAACTGCCTTTTTATTTTTTTTTCCTTGTTGCCTGTGGGCATTTGTTTTGGTTGCCAGTAATTCTAAGTGAGGAATAATGCAGCACATCCCATCCAGGTAAACAACAGGTAGCAAAAACATTGTCTGCCACGTTTGGATAGTCTGAAAATTTGTTTGCTTTGTCCCTGTTTCCTCGGTTCTGTCAGTCCAGAAATGTCTATGAATCTCTCTTACAGTTCCTGCTTTTTAACAAGCAAATGTTTTCTCTTTTTTTTTTCCCCCCATATTTTTCTACTAAGTTGAACTAGGTTTGAGGTTTCAGCAAGGAATCTGCAATTAACTTTTTCTCACTGCTTTGTTACATGTGAGAACAGCAGTGTGTAAAATGAGAGGCAAAATGAAAGGTGCAGTGACGAGAAGGGCAATCTGGGGGCTGACCAGGCTTCAAGCCTTACTATTTCCTTGTTCTGTGACACTCACCCTTGATTTTATATTTAATTATTGACTATATAAATGTCTCATAAAAGTACTGTTGAGAGTAAACGACTGCAATGTCTGATCACTGTAATAACTCATTTTAAACGTGTGCTTTCATTAATACCCCTCCCAAAGCTTTCCAAGAGAACCATTCCTAGAACCATCCCCATTTCTCAAGATCCTGATAAAGTTTATTTAATCAGTGTCTTTTTGCCAGTAAACCTTTGTGTTTTATGACTGCTTTGAATCCATGCTGACCTTTCCTTTTCCTGAAAGGAGGTGGTAAGATGGGAATCACCCCCCCCCCGTGTACATATTCATAACTTGGGCCTGGTGAAGGATAAATTTAAGTGGGAATGGGACTAGAGAATCCAATAGAAAAGATCTGAGCTAATGGATGTGTGAAATCAAAGACCAGCCATGTAGGCACAGGCCTTTTTTTTGAGGAAGAGGCACCTTGAACACCAGTTCTGCCTTCCAGGTTGTCCTAAATATGCCTTAAAAGTGTCTGTTTATTATTCAGGTCTGTTATATTTATGATTTGGGGGGGGTGGTGTGTTTATGTATGCTATTGAGACCACAGTAGCTTAGCCACAAGAAAAATAGAGGTTTACTGTTGAAGGAACCCACAGAGAGGGTTTTTGTAATCAAGTGTTCGCCTGGTTCTGCATTTTGGTGATGTAGATTGGGATGTGCCTGACAGGAAAAAGGAAAGCAAACCCCCCTTATTTTCAGCTCAAGATGACATCACGTGAAGAGAACGGAACTTTTAACAGCCGTTCTGTTCTAAATTAAAAGTTGTCTGGAATCGCTGTGACCTCTCCAGTCCTGCCGGATCACCAAGGGCTGGTGCTGCCTTCTCCTCCCTACGTGGGGCTGTTCCTGGCCGGCTCCCTGGCCCGAGGTGTAGCCCGCCCCAGCTCTCCCGCTCTCCGGCGGTGCCTCAGGCCGAGTTTTGGGGCCGGAGGGACTGAGGGGACCCCAAAGCTCCGCCCGCCACGTTCCCTGCTGACCCCGCGGAAGGAAATGGAAGCCCGGGCGCACCCCCGCCCGGTTGGAACGGTGGCCCAGCCCGCCCCCCCCGCCGCGGGGTGGTACGTCCCAAGCCTTTATAACCAGCCATGTGGCATCGTCCCGCCCTTTCGATCTCTGTGTTCGGCGAGTGGAGGGCCTAGCGCGTGACCTGCAGCCCGGGCTCGGGGCCCAGGGCGGGCAGCGGGGAGTCCCGGCGTGTGGGTTCGAAGCGCCCTTAGCATTGAGCGGGCTGAAGGCAGGGCTCACCCCCCTGCTCTCTGCAATGGGTTCAGCCGCCGTGCCCCGCTGGGCCGCGTGGGCTGGGCCGCGCCATTGTGGGAGGGGAGCGTGGGGCCTGACGACCCTGTCCCCTCAGGCGGCCATGGAGGCGGCACCGGGGCCGGGACACGCCGAGGCTGCGGAGGCGCCTTGTCGGTAAGTCAGGAGGGGCTGGGCTGGGCCGGGTCGGGGCCCCGGGAGGGCTCTGTGTGTGTGTGCGGTACCGCCGGGCAGCGCGGCTGGGGCGGGAATCGCTGCCCGGAGCTCCGTGAGGGCCCTGCGGGTAACGCCGCTGTGATTTCTTGACTAAAAACAATTTAGAGAGGATTGTCGACTACCAAAACCTTTCTGATGTAAATATTTCGGTGATTAATACCATCAGAAACAGGGCTGGAATTGCAAGCAGAGTGTTGGTCATGAGGGTCTGGTTTTGGTGGTGGGTTTTACTTCTTGTTTTTTTTCTTGTATGAACTATCTCTTTACTGCTGAAGAGTATTCTAATAATACTTCTCTTTTATTCCCACAGCAGAAAGATGTCTTGAAGTAAAGAGTAAGTTAATTCTTTTTTTCTATTAAAGTGCACAAGCTGTTAAGTTCCAGGCCTTTATTTAATGCTGATGATGCAGTGTGGGACTGCTAGTCAAAAATAACCTGTAACAGTTACATCTTGAAGTGAGTTAAATAAAAACCTCATTAAAACTCATTCCATGTTAAAACTGATTTCGTACCCACGAGTTAAAGAGTTAATACCTGTTAAAGATACAACCATTTAAGATCAAACAGTTCCTGTTTTATAAAGAGTGGAGTGCAGAAGCTGCTGGCTGTTGATGATGATAACCCTGAATAGGAAGTGCCGTCAGATGCGAGAACTGACGATACCCTTCTTACTGTCTGAAATAACAGCTACACACGTGCAGTTCTGAGTTACAGAAATGTCTTCTAAAACCAATCGGGCAGCTTTTATTTATGCTCTTGAAATACTTAACCGAGCTTTATGTCTGTTCCACTTGACCTGCAGAGCCTGCTCTTCCCAGGTGGATGTGACACAGCAGGATGGGAGCAGGTTGCTTTTCTGGGATGGCCTGAATCCGAAGGTAAGAGATGAATTTCACTGGAACACACAGAGCTTTATGCCAGGTGAAATGTAACTTGAGGATGAATGAGGTTCATAGGCTGTAAGGAACTTGGAAGGTGTGTTTTGTTACTCAATCTGCCTTCCCTCTTCTGTTCCTTACAGTTTAAAGCCTGATACTTCTTGATAACTGTATTTAGTATAACTTGCAGGTCTGTGCTGCCACGTGCTGGTGGTTACTGATGTCCATCCATTGATATTACAGCTCTTCCCAGGCCCTGTGGAAGGCAGCGAGACAGCAGAGCAGGAGAGTCTCCTGGGTGAGTTTAATGTTTAGTGTGCTCTTAGTTTAATGTGGTGTTTTTTGGCTGCAGTCTCAGGAATGTGTTTCTGCTCTAAATATATAATTAATGAAGTTCTAGGCCAAAATAACCACTTTTTTAGACTAAGAGTAGAGGTGTAAGAGCAGCTGTCTCCTGCACTGCGGTTTTGCTGACAGCACTGTGTAGAGCAAAGAGAGAAAGGTCTTTCTTCTGCCAGAAACGTATCAATTTACCCAAAGATATCATGTGATGAAACTGACCAAAAATTGCTGGAATTACCGGCAGATTGACTGGTGGTGAGCAAAGGTTTTCTGATGATATCTCCTGCGTGAGCAAATGAGTTAATAATAGTGGTGTTCAGTGGTTCCCTTAACCCTGCTGCTGTGTTACAGGTGGTGATGCTGCCAACAGCTGCTCTGGGGAGGAAGGAATCCAACAAACCTTGTGAGCTTTGGGACTGGTGTTCGTGGACACAACATGGTTTTCTGTCTGAAGGTGCTAAGAAATCACAATGGTTACACTGTGCTGATGACACAAACATTAAAGTGATCTCTTTCAAAAAAAAAACACTGGGTCTGTTTTTATCACTTTACTGCATTAAGGAACGACTTTTCCACAGCACATTTTTAATAAACACACTGGGCACTCCTGTAATTTGCTATGATGTGATATGCACAGGCTGCAGTGGATTTACTGCAGATAGTAACAGTGGGGTTTAGCTGTGTAAGCATTTTGTATCTGGTAATTAAAACTTTTTTTAAGCAGTTGAAACAAATGGTTCTAATAGTGCTGCTGTAATTACTGGAGAGAGTAGGCCTTAAATAGTCAAAAAGAAGAGCAAATGCAGCTATTTCTGTACCTTATTTCCAGGCTCGCTATTTATTCATTATTTTGGCCTCAAACCTTAAATTAAGCGTCATAATTCAACTAAAAAATAAAAGCAGGGATAGTTTCACCCAGGGAGTTGTGGCCTGTAAAAGCAGAGGTGTGAGCTTAGGGTGGGCCAAGGGAAGGAGTGAGAGCAGAACATAAGTGTTATTCCAGCCCTGGGTCACAGGTGAGACTCCAGGGACCGCCCAAGCTGTGACTGCACTTCCCAGTGAAGCTCAGGTGAGGACCTGGATCTGTTCTGATGATTCCCTGAGTGGAAGAAGCTGCTGTGACTTGGGGCTGCCCTTGTGGCATCACGGGGCAGTGTCCCTGTCCCTGCAGTGGCACGGGTGGGCTGTGCTATCTGGACTGGGAATTCTATGGAATACAGGATTTCACAGAGGCTGCTCTTACTGAAAAGTCAAGAGTCAGGGGCTCTGAAAAAACAGATTTACAGAGAAATGTCAGCAAGCAATAGGGTGCCTGATTCTGTGATGTGCAGGTAAATTATTCTGGATACAATACAGGGTTTAATAAAAACATTCAATCTGAGTAATGGAGTATGTAAAATTTGTATGGGATTGATTAATGTCTTTTTATCTGAATGTATCTGAGCAGGATGAAGAACAGGTTACTCCAATGTCTAATTAAAACTTCAGGGTTGCATTCTGTTCCCAGTGTTCAGTGAAACAAAACTTTTTGCCTGATCTTTAAGAGCTTGTGAATTAAAACATGCTGTGACATTTCTTATCTCACAAAACATGCCCTGGAATTAAAAAAAGGTTTTAAAGCTTTCAGAAAGCACAGGGGATGCATCTTTTTTTAAATGAAGTATCTGTAGGCCATGAATGATCACAGAGATGGTGAGAGTAGCCACATAACCTCAGGAAACAACTAAATTGTTGCTTGACTGTTCAGTTGTGCTGAATTTGCTCAAGAAATGTTTACTGCAGCTTGGTTTTATAATTGTTCTTGCTTTCCAGTGTGTGTCAGAATTGTCTCATTAAAGAGCAGAGCTGATCTGGGAAAACTTAAGTAAACAGGAAATAATTTGTCAGGGTTTTTTGAGGTTACAAGTTGGTATCTGTTAGAGTTGACTGTTCATAAGTTTCATTTCAGCGTTCCTTGTTTATTGTTTTAATCAAAACCAAAGTTCCTCAGCAGGGATCCTCCAACAGGCTGGATTTTTTTTGTAAGATAAATGAATGGAAAAGTGTTATTTCCATTAGAAGATGATGCCTTTCAAACAGAATAGATGCCCTCAACATACTACTGAGATGTTACATGGGAGCACAGATAATTTTACAGAGTGCTTCAGGGGAGGGGATATAAAACCATTCTGTTCTGATTACATTTGGAACACATAAAATTTAGTGCTGTGGAATAAGCAACAGACAAAAAAACCTGGTTTTAAAACACAATTAATTTGGATTTTCTAAGTTTTAAAAGAACAGTTGGCAGGAGTCCCTTGGCTCTTAACAACAGCCAACAACCACAAATAAATCCAGAAGAGATGAAAGGATTAAAGCAGAAATAAAATAGGCAGTGAAGTGGAGAATGGCCGAGTTAGAGCTTTTACTGATTATTTGTAGTCTCCAAAACTCATGCTGTGACTGGACCTGATGGAGAAGGGGCTGCAGTGATGAAGAAGGCAGCAGTGGTGTGGCCTTGATGGCAACAGGGGATGTGGCTGCAAGCCTCACATTTAGCATAAATGCTAGTTATTATTTTCTTGGTTAGTGTTATAAAGCCATTGTATCCACATCAGCATTAAAATCATTCATGCAAACCTGTAAATTACTATCATTAATATATCCCAGCTGTTAATGGAAATCTAAAGAGCCTTTTCTTGGTGGCTGCCATTTCAGCTGAAGCTGTTCTGGCTCTGCTAAATTCGAAGGGAGGAAGGGATATCCTGTGTATCTGAGCTTTTTGGAGTGAAATAAGTCCTTAATTTTGAAACCTCACTCCTTTTCTCCCGAAGGCAGGTGGAAGAGCGGTTAATTTTCAGCTCTTCCCTCCCTCGTTTCACATCAGCGGAAGAACTGAGGCCCAAAGGAGCTGCTGTTTTCGAGCAAGGAACGATTAAGATGGTATTAATGTCAGGCAGGAAAAGTGTTACAGGTTTGCTTCCTTCCAGGTGCCACCCTGGCAAATGCTTTGTGATGATTTCTCAGGTGCCTCAGGGAGCAGCTCTGAGCAAAGTGAGGGCTCAGAACAGCCAAGGGGGTCTTTGGCCTTATCAGGTTCATGGCACCCAACTGAGCCTGTGCTGCTTAAGCACATTCCACCTGTTCCTGTAAGGAAGGACAAGATTAACAATCGTTTAACAGCCTGGTAGGACAAACATTCACCTTATTGTATGTTTATGTAATTTAGTGCCTTAATTTTACGCTGGAAATCAATCTTAGCCCAAATGTTATGAACTGATCCTGGTGCTGCTTAACTTGGTAAGAACTTACCAGGTGGGGTTTGATTTAGAGCATGGCAGTTAAAGAACATCAAGCATTTTGTACTCTCAGTTCACAGGAGGAATAACATCTCTCCTGCTTGAGCCCACAAGGTGGGGCAGTGACCAAGCTCAGAGTGTTTAGTGGGAGATCTTACAGTGTTGGGAGAAGCTTGATTAGGGAAACATGGTTTTATTGCTGCTTCCTTCCCAATTGTCTAATAAGATTTTCAGCTTTGATTACCATGCAGAGAATCCCTCACACAGTGAGAATGTCACTGGCTAATTAGTTGTTAATTAATGTTTCTCAGTGTTGGAGCAGCAAAGGGCTCTGTTTTTGCTGCTGTGCAAACCCCTTACAGGGGGATTGTTCCAACCCCAGAGTGTTCCTGGGCTGAGCAGACAGCAGTGACACAGAGAGCAGGATTGAACAGTGGGCTGAGGAACCAAAGGAGTTAAAACTTAATAAAAATGCTGTGTGAGAAATGGTTCTCTGCAGCAGCCTCAGGACTCGCCAGCCTGGCTGTGCCTCCTCCATGGTGGGTGTTGAGCATCAGCTCAGCTGGAGCCAATAAACAGCCCCCAGCCCAGCACCTGTGTGGAACCAAAACCTGAATAAAATACAAATGAGAAAATCACATTATGGAGCCTGGATTTGCAATCCCTGCTGTTTTAATCAAGTGGAGATGTTCAAAGTTTCATCTCCAATAATTACGACTCCTCCTGTACGTGCTCTCTTTTCTTTTTGTGGACTTCCTGTCAATTTTTGTGAGTCAATGCTTAGATCTAATGTTTTTTTCCATAACAGGTTTTTTTTTTTTTAGTTGTAATGATTTGTGGTAAAATAATTGTGTGGCACAGCTGCAGCCTGAACTCTAGAAACAAATAACGATCGATGTTTCTAAAGCTGCCTGTGGCTTTCTGGTGATCTCTCCTTTGATTTTGGAATTACTCCTTTGCTTGTGCTTTCCCAGACCCCGGAGGAGTGTGTTGAACAGAGCTGGAGTAGTCTCAGAGCAAGCCTGGAGGCTGCTCAGCCTCGTGCAAGGGCTGACCCTCCACCAGGAAAAGCTGCTGCTCGTTAGGGGGCCCCGGGTGAGGCTCATTTTGTTCCAAACATCCACCTTTCCATTTTATGCTCCCCCCGATAGCTCAGGCACAGGGGGAGGAGTTGGGGTTCTTTCTCTTTATTAAAACAATACCATGCTTATTTAATTCTTCCTGCTGCTCTCAGGATGAAAGGGCAAACTCCTTTGGGCAGTGCTGGGTGGTTTTGGAAGCAGGTGAGGAGAAAAAGCTGCATTTCTGACGGATGAGTGAGCAAGAAGCCTTTGAATCTGTTAGACTGGCAGGAGGTCCCAGTTGCAAGAGGAAGGAGGTGCTACCAACATCCACCAGAAGAGGAAATTCAGGTAGGAAGAAGCTGGTTTGTAATCCAACCCTTGAGGTTCTCCTCGAAATTAAAGAGGGAGAAGGAAATAAATGGTGGTGGTTGTGGGAAAATATGATCCTGGTGCAGCGAGGGACTTCAAGAGGAGCCTGTTTATGTGGAAAGCTCCTGAATTCCAGCTGCAGTTCCACAGTGTGTGTGCTGTGTAGGTGTGAGGAAAATCGATCCTGCCTTCTACCACTTCCTAATTAGCATTATCACTTCAAGAAGCAATATCCACTCAGGTTAATGAGCAGGAACGAGGACAGTTCCGGTGAGAGAGGCAGAGAAGACTGAGTGGAGCTACCTCTGGGGTGGGAAGCTGAGTTTTCTCCCAGTGATGCTGGGAATTGGTTCATTTAGCTCGTTGCAGATACCTTCCCATGCCACCAATTCACTGGCTGGGCCAGATGTGAGCTGAGGTTGGGCCTGAGCTCCAGAAATGAGCTGGAGCGAAAGAGAACTTGGAAGAAATGGAGCTTGCATGTCCTGAAATGTTGCAATGCTTTAAGCTGTTCTGCTGCTTTGTTTTGTTTGGTTCTTCTTTGCCTGGTTGAACAATGGAGTGTTTTTTACGGTGACTTGTGCCAGTTTTGGGGAAAATGTGTATCACCCAGTTGGCTTTAAGCTCAGCTGCAAAGCCTCTTCTTCAGCTGCTTGGAAGGGAGAAGTAGGTGCTTTGTTCTTTTGAAAATCTCCCTCTTATAATTTGCCTGATTATCTTTTTTTTCTTTTTATCCTTCCCTGAAGGTAGTTGGTGGGTTTTCGTGGCGAAGGAAGGCAAGTGAGTGGAACAAAAAAAAGGACAAGTTTTGATTT